TAAAAGAAATAAAAGATGGAAGAACTGGAAAGCAGCTGGGTGCAGAGGCACATGTTTGCTCTTCCAGCTGCTTGGGAGGCTAAGGTGGGAGGAGTACTTGAGCCCAGGAGTTCACATTCCACCTGGGCAACTTAGCAAGATACTGTCAAAATTCTAAAAATAAATAAATGATGAAAATGGGCTAGTGATGTAGCTCAGTGGTAGAGAGCCCCTGGGCTCAATTCCTAGTACTAAAAGAAAAAAGGGCAAAATACTTCTGAATAAATATTATATAAATGCACATGATTTTTGTAAACAGTTAACACTATTGAAATAAGCTAAAAATGATCTCAGTCACTGAATATATATATTGTTCTTATATTGGAAACTCGATGTCATGAAGATATATATGTGCCCCAAACCGATCTATTGATCTATGTGATCCTTGTCCACAGCCCACAGCACATCTGCATAACCTGACGTGCTTGTTCTAGAAGTTAGAAGGGCAAATAGTCAAGATAGCCAAGAGGCTCCCAAGAAAGAGAACAGATGGGGACATTAGCTTTCACAACACATTTCAGCTGTTAATACAGAGGCAGCTGGGACAGGGGTCCTTTGAGCCCTGGGCCCTCCGATAACTGGTGTCAGCTGTTTGGAGACACATGTATTGGTAAGATGTCTGACTCATGTCATGCAGAAAATGTTAATTGCAAGTGATATAAAATAGAAAAGCAAAGCCACAAAAATTTGATTGATTGATTGATTGATCTTTGAGACAAGGACTTGCTACATGGTTCAAGCTGGCCTTGAGCTCACTATGTAGCACTCAGGCTGGCTTGAATCTTTTGGTGATCCTTCTGCCTCAGCCTTCCCAGTGCTGGGATTACAGGCATGTACCATCACACAAATTTTAAAAGGGTATAGGACAATATATTCCCAACACCCCAAAAGAATAGGCAAGGGATGTCGTCCAGCAGTGAGGTAAGGAAGAGCTAACTGATAGGATTCAGAAAGCAGCAAGTGCAAAGGAGGGTTGGATATAGCTGCATTACATTAGTGTGTAAAAACTTCTACCCATTGAGGGGCCTGCAAGACAGCTCAGTGTTCTAAGTGCCTGCTTGTCAAGCACAGAGACCCAGGGTTAGATCCCTGGTACCACATGCCACGTCAGCCTCGCCTCATGTCAGCCCCACCCCATGCATGATGAGCCAGCTACCACCAAGACTGGGTGTGGTGGTGCACACCTGTAATCCCAGTACTGGGAAGGCTAAAAACAGGAGGATCACTACAAGTCCAAGCTGTGTAGTGAGACCCTGTACCAAATACATAAAAAAAAGAACTTCTACCCATTGAAATAACCACAAAATTAGCACAAGACTATAGTTTTTCATGTCTGATGGAGGAGTGGAAAGTGGATGGCCCACTCCAGTTGATGAGAAAGATGGAGATCTGAACATCACTTAAGATGGAAAGCATGGGGCCAGGGAGACGGCTCAGCAGAATAATTGCTTCCCTGGCAAGTGCAAGGGCCTGAGTTCAATCCCTGGTTCTGAGGGAAAAAAAAGAAGATGGAAAGCACGAAGGATAATGAACATGTGAAATGGTCTCAGCCTGTGGTATCCAGGGGAATGCATGTTAAAGCCAAAACCAGATATTAAAATTACCAGAGTGACAAAGCTCAGGCTGAGGCTTCTAGAGTGTCAGGAGGGTATAATACCGTGGGTGTCAGTGACCACTTGAGACCCCACCTTGCATCAGTCACAAAGACTCTTTTCTGACCCAGGAGGGCCATAGCGGGTTTCCTGCAGAACTCTTGGAATTAGTGGAGCCTCCATCCAGTGGAATGAAGGGTAAGTAGTCACATGACAGGCCAGGCTTGGTGACAAGGAAGGGCTCATGATGTGCAGCTTCAGCCTGCACAGATCTCACTATCTACATGAAGCTCAACTCATGTGAGCTGTGTACACACACTGCATGCGGCCACTGTGCACGACAGGTAGGTTGAGCTCTGTGGGTGTCAGGCAAGGCAGGGGTAGGCCAGAGCCAGTGTCTTCTGTGTCCTCCACGGAGACACTGGTGTCCTGCAGTGTTTTTCAAATTAAACTTCAATTATGCATGAGAATAAAATCCTCTGTAGTGCTCCTGGCCACTGCCCCCAGGGACCTGACACACAGTGGCAGAGGCATGATTGAGGGGGGGACATGGCAAGACCCTGAAGGGGGCTGGGAATGGAGCAGGGTGTGTGCCCACCCACAGTCATCAATATAGGACTCTAGGGACCACAGGTTGCATCTGTCACCTGGGTCTGGGCCCCAGAGCTTGGAGAGTGAGTGGGATGGAAGCCAATGGGCAGGATGGGCAAGGGAAGCCCAGGGGCAGGGGACATTGCTGTCAGAGAGGGAGGGGGCAGGAGGAGGCCAGAGCCAATGAGGTGAGGGCTGGGAGGAGGGAGCAGAGGTGGGAACAGCCCTTCAGGTCATTTGGTGGACTTGGAGATACATGGGGACACTTGGTGCCCAGCCCTGTCTCTGCCCTAGGGACTCTGCTTTCTCCAGGGATTCTCCTCATACCCTAAGGGTTCCTTCCTCTGCCAATCTGAAAGGTCCCTTCCTAGCATCATCTTATTACTTGTTTCCTTGAGACATAAGAAGGTGAGCAAAAGTCCCATCTTCCCAAGATTAACTGACCAGCGCACTTGCGCTGGAGTCTCATCAGATCCTTTCTGCATAAAGGAAAAACTACCCTGAGTCCCATGGCCTGTCTTCATGATGGCACACTCCCCTGGCACCAGCAGTCTCTCTGCCAAGTGACCCACTCCCTGCAGCACGTGAAGCCTGCACTCCTTTTGGGCTGTGCCTTTCCAGCTACCATTCCATGCCTCTCCTCTGCAGGAAGACCCACTTGCTCAGCAGTCTGCACCAGCAGCGCACACTTCTTCTGCCCAGCTGTCCACACCCACAGGGGACCCCTCCTCAAGTTTCCTGGGGACTGGATCTTCCTGTGTGACTTGTGCAGCTTCCCTATGCCATGGGCACACTGCCTCTGCTCACCTCTTCTGTGACTGCAGGGGCTCCATGTCCTCCCAGTCTAGACTTCCTCCTCTGTGATGACCACTAGGCAGGATGATGCACAAGAACTGGGCATCTGTCAAAATATGTGCAGGGTGAACAGCACCATGGGGCAGAGGTCTTTGTAGCCTGAGTGTTGAAATCCTAGAGCCTCAGGCACAGGAAGGAAGGGACATACCTGGGAAAGCAGAGAGGGTGAAGGGACAAGCATTGGTGGGTGGGGAGAAGTTGGGGAAGAATACCTGCCCTGTTCCTCTCTCTCTCTGGTCAGGTGGCCAAGGCACACAGGGCAGGATGGGGACAGCTTCCAGGCATAACCCGTGGGAGCCTCTCCTGGGAGCCCTCTACACCTCCACTTTGGTGCCAATGTGCACTTCTGTTCTAACACGTTTTTCCCCTCCATGTACCTGTCTCCATACTGCCACCCACATAGTGGCTCAGTCCAAAAACTAAGCCTCAATTTCTCCTTCCCAGAGTGTCCCCTCCCGCACACCTGCAGTATGCTGGATCTAAACATCACCTCTCTTCTGGTCTACAAGACACCACCCCTGCCCACATCACTTGAGATACCCAGCCTGCCTCTCGATTTCTCTCCCCACAGGGCACCTGGCAGCCTTCCTGCCCTCTTCCTAGGGAAAGGAATCCTGGACAACTTACTGTATGCTGACTGGGGAATGAGATGTCCTATCTGTTTTAAGCAGGTCTGCCTAATGGAGTGTAAAGAGAAGTTTAGGGCGTCTGGAAAAGCCATTCCTTTATTACAAAAGGATATATATATATTTAAGATGGACTGTCCTTTCCTTCCTTTTTGGGATAGTGGTGTAAAGATGTGATGCCTTGGGCCTCGGTAGCCCTGAAGGCCATGAGGCAAAATACATTGTATGTGGTGACACTGGCAGGGTGACCAAAGAACTGCTCCTGAAATTGATTTTTATTCTGTGATGTAAAAACTGCGTTGTGTAAGCAGCAGGCTTGTTCCCTAAGTGGCCCCTACGCCAGGCTTCCTGCAGGGCTGCCTGGTGCAGCTGTCAGAAGGGGCTATGGGATGCAGGCCTGGCTCGTGGGGCTGGTCTCCATCACCTGTCCGTGCTTCTCTGCAGCGCTCGGGCCGCCCCAAGACCCTGGGGTAGAGACCCAGCAGCCAGCCGCACACTAACAAGGCAGACTTGCCTTGTAAGCCAATGGGCAACGCTGTGTGGACACAACCCTGGCACCACGAGGTCAGTCTCTGTGTCCTCGGGACACAAATGTCACCTCCGTGGAGCAGTCCAGCCAGTGGTGGCACCAGGTGCCAGACGGACTGACGGACGCGCGCGCACCAAAGGCGAAGGGGTGGCACCCGTGGGCTCGATTAATTGTCACTGAGCAGTGGAGCAGGTGATATCTGAACTGAGACCATGGAACCTAGGCGGCGTCTGCGCATGGCTAGGGGACAGGCGCGGCCAGGGCTGTGCACGTGAAGCCCAAGCCACCGTGCAAGTCCACGCGCCGGAAGGGCAGCGGGCGTGGCGGGAGCGGTCTCCTCCGGGGTCTGCAGGGCGGGGGAGGGGCACGGCGACCGGGCCGAGGCGTGAACGTGGAGCCGCAGGCGCCACATACCTGTCCCTGGACACCAGCAGGGGTCGGACAGGGTGGGGCGAAGTCCATGGCTGCGCAGCCTCGGCTGTCCAGGGCTTGGCTCTGCGCAGGTCTCAGGCTCTAGGCGGCGCTACCACGCGGGGGGCGCGGGCTCAGCGCAGCCCCCAGGGCCGTGGAGCGGGGGCGGTGCGGAGGCGGGGTCGGCGCTGATTGGCCGCGTGCTGGCACGTGACCTCCCGCTTATAGGGCGTGGCGCGGCTGGCCGGGCGAGGTCCGGTGCGGTAGGTTCCGCAGCTTACTGCCGCTTCGCTCCGGCGCCCCGCGCCCTCCCTGCCGGGGCCGCCGGGCTGGGGATGCGCGCGGCTTCCGGGAGCCATGGTCCGCTTCGGGGACGAGCTGGGAGGCCGCTATGGGGGCGCGGGCGGCGGGGAGCGGGCCCGAGGTGGCGGGGCCGGAGGCGCTGGAGGCCCGGGCCCCGGGGGCTTGCAGCCCGGCCAGCGAGTGCTGTACAAGCAGTCGATCGCGCAGCGCGCGCGGACCATGGCGCTGTACAACCCCATACCGGTCAAACAGAACTGCTTCACCGTCAACCGCTCGCTCTTCGTCTTCAGCGAGGACAACGTTGTCCGCAAATACGCCAAGCGCATCACCGAGTGGCCATATCCTGCCGGCTGCTGCTTAGGGCGCGCGCCACGGGCCGAGGCGGCAAGGAGGGGGCGGGGCGGGGCCGGGCGCCTATTTGTGTGGTCGCGGGGGCGGTGGCTGGGCGGACTGGCAAGTGGATGAGTGGAGGGGTGGACGCGCGGGTGGGCCAATGGGTGGTACTCGGGAGCTCCTGCGCTCCTCTTTCGGCGCGTCTGGGACCCTGTTAGGGGCAGGGGCACGAGGCCGGTTTGGGAGGGCGCCCTGTGGACGCGACCCGTGCTTGCGTCGACTGCAGGTGTTGCGCGTGCGTGCGCCCCGGGCTCGCGCGACACGTGTGTTCGTGTGCTCGGGTGGGCACTTGTCTGGCTGGGCAGGGATGTGCGCCTGCGCAGCCGGGGCCCGCTGAGGGACGGGCGCTGTCCGTGGTGCTGACGGCCTAGGACGTGCGGGGCAGGCATCCCTGACTGCAGAGGCCCCGCCCACGCCACCCGCTGATGGAAGCCCCGGCAGGGGAGGATAGGCACTGGGCTGGCGTCTCATATCCCTGCCTAGGACTCACGGCTGGTCCTTAACCCACGCACTCCCTTCGAGTACATGATCCTGGCCACCATCATCGCCAACTGCATTGTGCTGGCGCTGGAGCAGCACCTCCCTGACGGTGACAAGACGCCCATGTCGGAGCGCCTGGTGAGTGCTGGCTGCCGGGCGAGGGTGGGCGGTGGCAGCCCCTCCCGTGTGAGCCCTGTAGGGTCTGCCTCCGATGGGCAGCTTCACTACTCCAGTGGAGAAGCAGGATTGGGCCTCCACAGCTGGCACTTCCTTCCAGCCGGCTCAGCCCCTGGTGTGAGGATACAGTGGCTATCAGCTGTCTGTCTTGGGCCTTGAGCACTCGAGTGTTCAGCTGGACCTTGATCTAAGAGTTTTAGATCTAGAGGGCGGTAGGGCATCCATCCTGGTGAAGACAGGAAGGGTCAAGGGCTACAAAGCCCAGGGGAAGGTGCGGTGGCTGTCCACCTTCCTTGCATGGCCGGCAGATGCCTTGGTGTAGAGATGAGTCTGGGAGCTGTGATTTCTCCTTCCTATCATCTTCCAGGATTAATGGGAGCCCTTCCTCTGTAAGGCCCACTACTCTCAGTGAAGCTTATGTTCCAAACAGTCTGAGTCATTTTACTCCAAGCTTCCTGCCCAGAGTGCCCAGACCTTGTGCCTGCACCACAATACAGAGCCCATGAGAATTAGGACAGGGCAAGGTCTTCTCATAACACTGGACTGCAGAACTGGGGCCATCAGAAGGCAGGATTGAAGGCCAGTTGGCTGCTTTCTGAAGAGGAAGGATGTTGTTTCTGGTTAGCAACCCCTTCACTTAGTCCCAGCTCTTGACACTGCTCCAGGCCTTTGTCTGGGATCATGGTGAGGGCTCAGAGTACAGGGTAGGACAATCAGGTGATCAGGAGAAGGGGGCCTTTGGCCCAAGTTTGGCTTGACAGCCTCTTGGGTATCTGGCAGTCTGTGGATACCAGTGGATACCAGGAGATGGAGCTTCCTGGAGGATTCTGGATAGCGCAGGTGGTAGGGTCCCTCCCCTCCTCTGGGTCTCAGATTTATGCATTGGTGGTGGCCACTCTGTCTACTCTATCCTGATGGTGGACACTGGCCCCAGAGGCCATGAAAGAGGGCCAGAGTAAGAGGAGTCTTGGGTGTAGGTTCCAATACCAGGTTCAGGGCATGGCCTAAAGTGGGAAGTGAGGCCTAGAGGTGGGTTCAGAGAAGCCAGCATGTGTTCTGGGTAGGATCAACTAACTGTCTTCTCATGGTCCTGCTGTACAGGCTTTTGCCTGGAGAATGTTTCTGAATTAATCCTGAGGAGGGTCTTCTTTGGGAAAGGGAGCACGAAGTACATTTCTGGCTGACTCCAGTACAGGGGGCAGTTCAGCCCTTGAGGGTGCTTGGGGAAGACAGCAGAGGAGAAAGGACTGCAACAGAAGAGAATGGCCTAGCTCTGTGGGCTGCCTCCCCCATCCTCCCTTGTTTCCACTTCTAGAGCTGCATTGAGCTGATGTCCTAGCTTGAATCCACTGCCTGTCCAGCCTTGGCTATCTTCACACCCTGCATGGTTCAGGGCAGGGAAGGGAAGAGGGATCTGACGATCTCTTTTCATCTGCTGGTTCTTGTGGTATGTGCTCCGACCTGCAGAGTACCCAGGACTGGCTGCCCACAGCTCACAGCAGACTTTCTGAAGGAAGAAGCATGGACACTTCTGGGTAGAGAAATCTGCTTGAACAAAACTTGCTTTGTTTCCTGCCCATAAACTAAACCCTGTCTTTTGGGGCCAGTAATTCTGCTAGGGCAGGTGGTCAGTAGCTGATGGTCAGTGTCCCCTTGGGGAGAGGAAACATTCCTGGGTGCAGGGGAGTGGGAAGCTGGAGACCAAGGGACTGTGTGTGTAGCTCTTCAGGGGCCTTCTCTTATCTGTTGAGTCAGCATTGGGGTTCAGGACAGGAGCACCAGGCCCCTCAGCAGCAGTCACTCTTGTCAGCCAGGCTGTATTGTGGGCCAGGTGGGGTCCAGGCCAGGTGGTGGTCAGTCAATGCTTCCTGTGGGAGCTGGTAGCGCTGGTAGCTGGTACCCGGACCCAATGCCTGGCATCTGCCCTGGTGGGGCAGAGCAGCCCTCTGAAGGGCAGTTCCTCCTAGGCTCCCACTGGAGGGAGGACGCTTGGGATCCTGGTGGTCACTTCTTCTCTGCTTCACTGTGTGCTCCTTGAAGCATTAGTTCTCCAGTCCAGGCATCTTTGTCCTCACGCTGTGTCCAGCTCCTTGGGGCACCCTGCCTCATTTGCACATGTGAATGCTTCCACTTCACCACTGTATCCTCATTGACACCTTTCTCCTTGTGCTCCGGGCTCTGGGCTCAGACTGAAGGGTCTGCCCTCCTTGAAGCTCCTTGATCCTGGATGAAGTGCCCTTGGGTGGAGGAAAGGAATTTATTAGACCTTCTCATCTTGGTCATATGATCACAATTTTCTCCAACTGGAGTCTTTTCCTCAGAAAAGCAAGCAGTGCTTGCCCCACCCTGATGTCACACCTGCCTGAGTCTGAGCCTAACACTGCTTGGCCTCTACCTGGGCAGGCCCTGGCCTTGAGATGTAGAGCCCAGAGTCCTACTGGGTGGGTAGCATGGCTTGGCTGGAGGCTTTGCTTTTTTTTTTTTTTTTTTTTTTTCCAAACTTCCACAAGTGTTTGCATGGTTTGCTTATCTAGGAGTTTGTTGAGTGCTGAGGCAGGTCCAGGACTGAGGACTAGGCATTACGCTATGTTACCCAGAGCCTGGGTCAGATTGGTTGGCCCGGGGATTCTGTTGTGGCCTTTGTCCAGCTCCTGTTTCTGTTCTCTTAGGAGGGGCTGGGGAGATGGCTCAGTGGAATAAGCACTTCCCTGGCAAGCGCAAGGGCCTGAGTTCAATCCCCGGTTCCATTAAAAAAAAAAGAAAAGAAAAGAAAGAAAAAGAAAAGAAATGAAAAAAAAAAAAAAAAAAAAAAAAAAAAAAAAAAAAAAAAAAAAAAAAAAAAAAAAAAAAGAAAAGAAATGGACTAGCTGCATTTGGCCGGGGAGATGGCTCCGTAGAATAAGCGCTTCTCTGTTCTCTTAGGACTGGGGAGACTATGAAGGATGTTGAAGAGGTTGCTGTAGTTAACATAAGAAAGATGGTTTGTACTCCACCAAGTGTCCATACTTCTTCCTTAAGAAAGTCTGCTACAAGCTGTGGGCAGCCATATGAGTCCTGGGCACTCTATAGGTTGGAACACACACCACAAGGCTAGGATGCCTGCAGAAAACCACATGCAGGCTGGTGGTGGAAAGTAGGCTGGAGATGTCTGAGAACCTCAGGCGGGGTCAGGATGGTCCACCTTGGAACCTGCTGTCCTGACCACTGCCCTGGGTACAGAGATGACTGTTGTCTTTACTCCTCCTCAGGATGATACGGAGCCCTATTTCATCGGGATCTTTTGCTTTGAGGCGGGGATCAAGATCATAGCTTTGGGCTTTGTTTTCCATAAGGGCTCCTATCTGCGGAACGGCTGGAATGTCATGGACTTCGTGGTAGTTCTCACAGGGTAAGTGGGAAGGGCCCATGGGTGTGGTGATGTCTTTGGGCCCTGACTGAGACAGAGTAAAGAGGTTTCCCTGGGGTGGGAGTGCTTCCCCTGAGCTGTGTTCTCTGAGGAGGCTGACGCACAGTGCCCTGTTGCGGGAGATGTGTCCCCACAGGGCTCATAGCTGCAGGCTGCTAAGTTCTGTGGCTGGTGTGGCTAGCATGTTGCCTGCTGTGTGGTGGCTGGATCTGAGAGTCAGAGGACACTTGGCATTGTCTACCAAGGTGCAACTAGGCAACGTCTCTCTGAGCCCAGACTTCCGTTTGCTGGGGTTGCGTGTCCCTTGTCTGGCTTCTGTTCCAGGACAGATGGCACTTGGCCTGAGAGTCCCACCCAGCACTGAGTGGGCTGTCATCACGAGTGGCTCTTGACTTCCCAGGAAATCTGGAGGTCAGCCTGTGCTTCCTGAGGATAGTGTGGAACTGCTGTAGTCGGAGGATGGAGGCCTTGGGCCAGGCCAGCCGTATCTTTTCTCTGGAGCCTTGTGGTCCCTGGAATTCATGTCCCAGGTGGAGAGGAGGAGCTGCTTGCACTGTAGGTTGCAGTCTTTTCATTGGTCCATGAGGCCTAGTGTATAGCAGTGCTGGTTCTGATGGAGGAGGTGACTGGGTTGCTTGGGTCTGGAGCTCCAGCCTCATTAGTCCAAGGGAGAAAAGAATGTTGGCAAGTGACCTTGGGGCTCTGGGTTCCTGAGGCTTGGGTGGCCATTTAGGTGGCTTTGTGCCCTGCCTAGGACGCTGCCTTCCCCAGGGATTGGCTTGGGCTTTGCAGAAAGCCCTCTGCCCTGTGAGATCTGGGGCAGTTGGCAGGAAAGTCACCCTTGGAGGAGCAGTAATCCTGTCCAGGGCTACTACTTGGGGCATCCAGGAGCTGTGTGGCTGGCAAGATTATTTCCATCTGTCTCTCTCTGGACGCAAGTTCTCAGAGGACAAACAAAGCATCTTATTTTTTAGGATGTCCCTTGGGTCCAGTAGAATGGTAAAGCATTGGGGATGGGGGTGGAGTCCTGCAGGGTACCCTCCTTGGTGCTGGCCAGGGAGGGAGGCCAGAGAGCCCACTCTAGGGTCCCCACAGTGCGTGGTCTATTCTGCATGCCTCTCAGAGCCATGACAGGCACCCAGGTGGGGACATAGCCTGTGCTGGGCAGGGCACCCAGGCAGCTGTCTTCTTGGGAGTTCCAGTGAGAGGGGAAGACGGAGACCATGCTGATGCCTGCTGTGTGTCCCTCATCTCCCTTCTGCCCCTGCTTGCCTCTGTTCCCACTTCTGGATCTGTGTCTTGGTCTGACTTCTGCCTCAAGTTGCGTTCTTTTGGTGTCTCCGCTGTGGCTGGGTGATGAGGGGAGCCCTAATAGGGTGCTGTGTCCCTGAGCCACAGACTGCTCTGATTGGGCACATCAGGGCATGGGGACCTGTGTGTGTATCTGTATGTGGAGGGGAGGTGCTGGTCTCTGGGGCCCAGGGAAGAACCCTGTCCCCCGCTTCCTGAGCAGTGGATTCCCCGTAGTCTGTGGGCATGGTGCAACGCTAGGTAGACACAGCCTTTCTCATTACTCTGTTGTTTTTAATTAGAGCTTAGTTAATTGGTGCTTAGAGGGTTGGAGGCCAGGAGGGAGGAGACAGGTAGCACCCTGGCTGTTGCTGGTGACCCTGACACAGTCCCAGTGGCAAGCTGGGTTCTTCTTCTGTAGCTGTGGCTGCAGCTGGTGTAGAGGGGCAGGAGTTGCCTGGGAGGTCCTGTGCTGCTGCCCTGGGACAGCCTGTAGGCTGGCACATGCTTGTCAGTGGGCCTAGGTGCCCTTCCCCTCTCTGGCTGCCCCTCCATGCTGAATTTTGAGATGGGTTCTGCTTGGGTGGCAGCCCTCCCTGGAGAGGCAGGCTGGTGACTGGGAGGGGGCCCATGCAAGGCTTGGTGCTCTAGGCTCCGGTGCCCTGCGAGGGATGAGGGTGGCGGGCAGGAGGGGATGCCCAGTCATACTTGGGAGCCAGATTACAACTGGCTCAGCCCTTGGGAACCACCTGGCAGGATAGTGGCTGGTCCCTGCCGTTCTGTTGAGGGGGCACTAGCTCCTGGTCCCCCCATTCCTCTTCTAGGTGGAAGTGGGACCCTAAGCCTGCTGGCTTCAGGGTCTAGCCATACACAGAGGTACAGAGGGCAGTAGAGGGGTCTGACCTGCTGTCCCTTTGGCCCACATTCCCACTTTTCTGCCAGTGTTGGATCTGCTCATGCACCCACGGGGCCCTCTTATGTTCATTGTCTCTGGGGTGCGGAGGGTATGCTGCGAGCAAGTGGCCAGGCCCAGCTGATGTCCTCCACACACTCAGCCTCAGTCCTTGACAGGAGCCCTGGACATTCCTGGGTGTGTTTTTCTGTCCCCTGGGGCACCTGTGCAGCCAGAGTAGGTGTTGACCTGTACTGGCTGCTTTTTCACGGTGTTTCTGACTCAACCTGTGTGAGTGGATGATGGCTTAGGCCCCAGGAGGGGTGGATCCTGAGTGCCAGGGAAAGCTGTGTGGCTGGCAAGATTATTTCCATGTCAGACCGAAAATTGGAAAAAACCAGAGTTTATTAATAAAGCTGGCCATTGGACCCTTCCCAGGTTACAGATCTTAAATGTCTGGTGTCCAGACACACTTCCCTTGCAGATCAAAAGCATGTCTGGCCTCATTCTTTGTTTCATCTCTGCTTAAATACAACATCTTAACAAGGGTGGGGAAGGAGTGGAGGAGTGAGGCATTCTAGTAGGATCATGTAGAGTTGGCTCGTCCTTAGTATCTCTAACTTCTAAGGTGTATTAAAGGCTAACCTAATGCTTCTTTTGTTAGGATAAAATTAACCCAATTGAGAGCCACCATCCCCTTTATCCCCCCCATAGCATATTTTTCTTTCTAAGAAATATAAAGTCTATCATAAGATGGCAGCCTAACCTGCATCTGGTATGCCATGTTGTCCCTTCACATCATCATGCTGGCTTGACACTGCTTTGTATGCATATTTTCCTTTCAACTTTTGATTAACACTGATCCCCAGGCTCAAAAGACTGCACAAGGCTGTGAAGGGGAAGAGGATGATGTCTAATACACTTCACTGTAGCTCTTTCAAAAAGCCCTTTGCAGCGCCTGCAGCTGCTGTGCAGGGTCAGAGTCCCAATTCCTTATAGTCCCTCCAACACTGGCACAAAGGGTGGCGGCCTTCCAAAAGGTATTTCAAAGAGAGTGAGCCCATTCTGGTATGAAGTGCAGTGTGACCAAGGCAGGGCCATTTGAAGCATAGATACCCAATTTGCACCTGTTTCTTGGAACAGTTCGGACAGAGCACTCTTTAGGGTGCGATTCTGTTGTTCTGCTTGGCCCGAACTCTGGGGCTGGTAGGCAGTATATAGCTTCCATTTTAGGCCCAGCACAGTGGAGAAGCAGGCCTGTTATCTGAACCTGCCATCTTGGGGAGCCCACACCGGGGAGCGATCAGTTTCATCAGTGCTTTTACTATGTCTCTGGAGGTCTGGATTCTGATTGGCATGGCCTCTGCCTATCCCAAGTAGGTGCAAACAAGCACCAACAGATACTTTTTGTTTTCACCCTTAAGCTTGATCTTGATGAAAGCCACCTCAGTGTCTTCCAAAGGGAGGGTTTCCTCTGGGCAGACGCCTCGTTCACACTGGGCGAGGAGCACAAGGAGCACAAGTCACACACTTACTGGCCACGGAGGCGCACAGGGTCCAAAGTCTGGATAGAAGAAAGTGGCAGACAAGCACTTCCGCCATAGCTGTCTTGCACAGATGGATTTTACTATGTAGCACCTCAGTCACAAAACGTTCCATGTGTTCGGGCAGGAACACTTTCTCCTAGAAGAATTTGCCATCCATTTCTTTCTGATGCCCCTTCAGATTTAGCCTATGTTAACTCAGTCTCAGAGTACTTAGCTTTTTTTTTTTTTTTTTTTGGAACAGGGGATTGAACTCGGGCCCTTACGCTTGCCAGGGAAGTGCTTATTCTATTGAGCCATCTCCCCGGCCCCTCAGAGTACTTAGGTGGCTGAAGGAGTTATGGTAGACATGCTACCATAATGCATGTCTCCAGCAGCAAATCTCCCACAGCTGCTCATTTTGCTGCCAAATCAGTGGCCCTAGTGCCTCAGATGGAATTTTCTTTTTGATTTCTGGTGCAGTGTATTAACTGCCACCTGAGTGGGCCACCATACCATTTGCAACAAGTTCAATATCTCATGCAGATTTTTATTTTTTTTGGTGGAACCGGGGATTGAACTCAGGTCCTTGTGCTTGTCAGGGTAGCGCTTATTCCACTGAGCTATCTCTCCGGCCCCATAATGATAGTTTTTTTTTTTTTTTTTCTTTTCATTTTTCGTTTTTGTGCAGCTTTTTAATGAATATTCAGGAAGCAGTGCTCTCGACTATACTGTCCATCCAACGGTCATGACAGCTGCCCCTGCACTCCATACTCCATCTGTTACTGTTTCCATTCCAAAACAGGACCAGATCAGGGTCTTGAAGGGGTGTGCTCTGTAGATCAGGTCTTGCTCAATACAGGGCCTCAATAGTCTGCACCCAATTGTGTTTTGGAGGCTCCAACAATGTCGGCAGTAGAGAAGTAGGGTGGATGACCTGTACAGTTTTCAGAGTTAAATGTGAGTCTTCAAGAAGGGGCTTGTGGTAGGTGGGGAGCTTGGGCCCTAAGGCTTTTCTCTCATAATCAGTGCATGGTCGGTAGATGGGGAGCTTGGGCCCTAAGGCTTTTCTCTTACAATCCATGAGTGGTCGGTAGGTGGGGAGCTGGGCCCTTAGGCTTTTCTCTCACAATCCGTGCATGCTCAGGGATCCCACATGCACGTATTCTAAGCCCCTGAGGCAGCGTTGGAATTGTACAGAGCCAGGAACCAATATACGGGAACTGGTCTGGGGGTCCCAGCTTCCCCATTACTACCTCCCATACTCAACTGGCTTG